GGCCTCTACAGGGTATTCAGACATACAGAACACACACACACACACACACACACACACACACACACACACACACACACACACACACACACACACACACACACACAAACAAGAAAAGTGAAGTCAGCAATACAAGAGGCAGGAAATGTCAAGTTTTATGCACCACCTAGATGCCAGCTCGCCCTCCCATAGTGATCTTGGGTACTGGACAGGAACTGGGGCACTGATGATTTCCTCTTGGCCCCCGCCCCCTCCACTCTCAACAGAGCAAGGCTTTTAAAACTTCCTGAAGCAGGTCATGCAAGGCCATCAAGGCCGCTTCAAAGTTGCTGTGTGATGTTCAAAATTTGGATACTTATAAACCCAATTCTTTACATGCAAACACATTCAGACTTTTGCAAAATTTTGCACACATCACAGTGTTAGTCCAAAGTGAACAGGACAAATAAGGAAATGGAGTATAATGAAGTCTCATTCCTGAAGTGTTTCAGTATATACGTTCATCAGCACTCACTTGGTTGTGAAAGGTCCCAAAAAGTGTATCAGACTATATTTGGTCATGTTCAATAGAAGCAAGAATAAGAACACAGTGCTAGATACTCTACAGTTCAAGCTGTCCCTTTGGGGATCAGCAATGTACTCTCATTAAAATCTTCTGCTTTGTTTTCACTGGTGGGTAAAATCTACAACGTAGTGGTGGAAATAACAGTGTTAGAAGTGTAACGGAGGTTATTGTTGGTGGTGGTTTAGTTGTTTGAGAATATTGCTGCCTATAGTAAATTACAAAAATACTGACAGCCGCCAGTGCTGCCCCTCAGCCTCCTAGTAGATGCACCTATTGTATCAATTTGAAAGTCCTAGGTGACTTTCTTCTCGTTGAGGTCAAAGTCACCGAGATTTGAACTTATCAAGATTTTTAGCAGACGCACTGACAATATCTCATCGCTTCATTTTTGCGTTATCGTATCCACAAAGTTGAGTATCAACACTGCTCAAACAACAATTGGCATCATGTCTCTTTATACTGACGTCGGGTGTCCACTGTAGACTTAATGCTCAGTGAAACACAAGTATTTTGGACAAAATTCACAGTCAGACTCAAACTTGGTAATTCTTTAGGTACTTTTTGGCTGCTCCTTTATTTCCAAATGAGTCGCCACACCAGCCGTTTGATTTGGCACAGACCTGAGGTTTGTGTATCCTCCCAAAGTTGAACTGGGGATGTGTCTAATAAAACACAATGAAGTGGAATCACATAACATGACTTTTCTGTGAAGTTGTAACAGGCTCTCCAACTCTACTCCCTCCTCATCGTTCCATGAATCCCGCTCCCACTCTTCTTCCTGCTCAAGCTTTCCTGCAACATCAATGGAGGCACCGCACTACACGGCCAAGAGTGCCTTTACGTTCAGAGGTGAACATTAACTTAATGGTTCAATTGCATGTGTTATAAAAGTTAATGAAGTTAAACATTTATGGAAATAAACCACTGCGAAAGTGCTGCAAAATTAACAGCTGCTCTTACGAGCAATAAAAACTGTTAAAGGGCCTGAAAGGGGCTCCGTTAAATACGTGATGAAATATGCGTTGTGGTCTGACTGAGCATGTTTAAAATGTCATGTCCTGTGATTTTATTTTATTTATTTATTTATTTTATTGCAGTATTTTTTTCACCATTAAAAGAGATCAGATTTTTGCTATTGGAAAAAAATCTCAAGTGTTTTGGTTAAAAACTAAATGCAGCGAAGAAGAACCGTGTAAAACTCACTATGAGTGTGTGTGTGTGTGTGTGTGTGTATATATATGAGTGCCGAGCGCACACGTGCGCGTGCGTGCCCGTGGACAGTGTGAAATATAGAACAGCCAAATATTGAATAATTCATGCTGAGCACAGACACCAACTATCATCAGTTTTAAATTGGAAATACTCGTTGACATGGCCTTGAAGGAAAAAAAAAAAAAAAAAAGAAAAATCATTCAGGGCACATTCCTTTTACGGGTCACATGACTGTGTTGTGTGTTCACTTTCTTAATAATCAAATGTCCAGATCCGATATAGAACGATTCCGTGCACGGAAAACAGACACAGGAACCAGGATAAAAATTCTTGGAAAGTGGCGCCTGTTGGCTGACAAAAGAAACTGTTTTGATAACATACAAAGGGGAAAAGCATGCAGATCGACTCTCTCACACACCCTTACACCCACGGGCAATATGCACTTGTATACACCGTCTGCCATGCGCACAAAAAAAAAAAAAAAAAAAATTCTGTGGACTATTTTTAACCACACACACCCATGTACATTCTTGCATAAGTTTGTCTGAACTGCAAATCCCATATGAGCTGACAGGTTGGCGCAGGGTGAGTGAGGAGCAGCACAGGACTTCAAATTGTAGCCATGGTTCAGTCAAAACAGGAGGTCAAAACAGGTCTTTCAGTTCACAGAAAAGGTGCCTTTGAGTCACATTTATTGTTGGCTCCGGTCACATTGTGTCTCTTGTTACAGCCGTGCTGTGAAAAGGTTGACTACATCTTGTGCAAGTTCTGTCCTTATCAAGCTCGTGTGGGCTCTGTGAAGCCATAGCAGTTATGTCACTAAAGTCAATGAAATTCCAGGAGTAACCAGGAGCCCCAGTAGTGACTTTATTAAATAGATCAGGTATCAGCTAACAATGACTGATAAAGATTAGATCTAGGCACTTAGATGCAAATCTAAGTGCGTCTAAGTCCCTGAATATGCAGATCTATGAAGTGACAAATTAAGGAAGTATGTGTTCAGGCCAAATTCAATTAAGTGATCACCTGACTTTAAGACAGTGTGCAGCAGAAGATTTCCAAAGCCCAAGGACTTTTTTTAGGTGGTAAAATATAATTTTCCAACAGACTGAGATTAAAGTCTTCCAACTTTCAAAACCACCAGTGTAGTCACTGAAATAGCCCACATATTTATCTGACAGGTGCTTAGCATAAGCAAATCTTCAATATTTTTTTTGTCAACCAATTTCCTTCCAGTGTTCCTCATGTTAGTTCCTGAAGCATAACTGTATAAAAAGTGCTGCTTCACTGAGAAGCACCTGAAACTGCCCGGCTCAGTCTTATCAAATCATCTGGACTTGAAGTAGGTGTCTAAACCTGTAAATGGCAGGTAAGAACCAAAGGCAATGTTAGTGGAAGTCTAATCAAGTCATTAGACTTGATTAGACTGTTGTATTAACTGTTGTATTAACACTTCATTTTCAAGTAGCTGTTTGAAGTAGTTGCTTTTCTGTGCATCATTATTGGATTTAAGTCAAGATTTCACAGCTGAGCTTATTACTCATCATGCATTTGTCACATAGTAGTTGGAAGTTGAAATATTAAATATAATGGTATAATTTAATAATTTAATAATTCATCTGTGGAAGGTCGCATGTACCTACAGTTGTCAAAACACATGCGCATGTATCCGACAACTAGGGCTGCTCAATTAATTGAATTTTAATCACGATTACGATCTGGGCTTTCATGATCATTAAAAATGATTGAGCCGATTATTAGCCCCTCCCTCATTTATCCGTGACACCTTAAAGGCCAGTCCGTGAAAATATTGTCGGCATAAACTGGTCCGTGGTGCAAAAAAGGTTGGAGACCGCTGATTAAGAGGACCCGAGGGAAGCTTGGAAGGCTAAGCAGAAGTTATTTGGAGAGGAGAGTGACTGCCATTGGTTGAAAAGAGAGGTAAAAAAAAAAAAAAAACTTCAGTGGTGTTGCACACTATTTTATATTATTTTTTAAATACATTGTTATTGTTAACCCTTTAAAGCCGGTCAGAGCAGCACGCTCCGTTTTGTGTAACTATTTTTAAATCCCTGTAGAACCTGAACCTGTAAGCTAGCGCAATAATTTGTTTTGCATATGAAACCGGAGGAGTTGTACTTACATCTTATGCCATCAGCTTGTCCTCGGTCACGGTTTCCTTCCGCATATAGCTTTGCAAAAATTGCATAAAAAGCGCTTGCAGGAACAAAAACATAATATTCCAGAAACACGCTTTGCCGATCCGATCAGCTGTTCGTAACACTTCCCACAGTGAAACAGAGGTCAGCGAGAACTATCGCATGTCCGCCATTTCCTGCCCAAAACCGGAAGTGACGTCATTTTTGCGGAAAATGT